TATCCACAACCGCCCTACGATTGCGTCGGCATGGAAACGTTCGCCTTCTGCGACACGGCGTCGGCGCTCTGCACAGGGCCGTGACCGTCTTCTGCTGCGTGTAAAAGTTGACGCCGGGCCTTCCGTAAAAGGTGCTGGCGCCGCCGCCGGCGATGCTCTTCTTGTTGCCGGTGAAGGAGAACATGGGCAGGGGCACGGGGATGGGGACGTTGATGCCGACCTGGCCGGCCTCAATGTGGCGGCGGAACGTCTCGGCCGTGGGGCCGGAGCGTGTGAAGATGGCCGTGCCGTTGCCGTACTCGTTCTTGTTGATGAGTTCAATGGCGTCATCGAGAGTCTCGACGTTGAGGCACACGAGGACGGGGCCGAAGATCTCCTCGGTGTAGCACTTCATCTTAGGCGTCACATTGGAGATGATGGTAGGGGCGACCCAGTTGCCGTTGGGATATTTGGCCGGCGTGTACCCACGGCCGTCGAGAAGGATGGTGGCGCCCTCGTCCTCGGCGCTCTGGATGAGCGCCTCGATGCGGGCCTTGCTGTGCGGGGAGATGACGGGGCCGAGATCGGCACCATCCTCGAAGCCGCCGTCGACCTTGAGCTGCTTGGCCATCTCGGCAAGCTCGGGCAGCCACTCCTTGGTCTCGCCGACCATGACGAGGGTGCTCAGGGCCATGCAGCGCTGGCCGGCGGCGCCAAACGCGGCGCCGACGACACTGTTGAGGAAGTGGTTCTTGTTGCAGTCGGGCAGGACAGCGGCGTGGTTCTTGGCGCCGAGGTTGGCCTGGACGCGCTTGCCGTGGGCGGAGCCCTTGTTGAAGATGTACTCGCCGGCCTTGTTGCCACCGACGAAGCTGACGGCCTTGATGACGGGATCCTCGAGGATAAAGTCAACGGTGCGGTGGGCGCCGTGGACAACGTTGACGACGCCCTCAGGGAAGCCGGCCTTCTTGACGAGCTCGGCCAGGATCATGGCCGCGCCAGGGTCACGCTCGGAGGGCTTCAGGATGAGAGTGTTGCCGGTGACTGTGGCGATGGGGATGCACCACAGGGGAATCATGGCGGGGAAGTCTTGTGGCATCGTCAGCACTTTCCTGTAGGGTACATGGCCAGACCAATGGGCAACTCACTAAAGGGACAGATGGCCGCCACGACACCGAGGGGCTCACGGTAGCTCCTCGTCTCCATGTCCTTGGCCACCTCGAGCACCTCGCCCTTCATGAGCTCGGGCGCCGCACAAGCGGCCTCGGCGACCTGGAGGCCACGCAGGACGTCGCCCTTGGCATCGGCAAACGTCTTGCCCTGCTCGAGGGTGATGCTGGCGGCCAGGCGGTCCCAGTTCTCGCGGATCAGGCCGACGAAGCGGAACATGATGGACTGGCGATGCAGCCCCCTCGTCGCCGCGCCAGGCGACGCCCGCCTTCTCGGCCGAGTCGACGGCGGCCTGGAGCTCGGCGTCGGTCATCTGGGGCACGCGGGTGACGAGGTTGTTGGTGGCGGGGTCGTGGAGATCGATGAACTTGTCG